CAGGAAAAGACAAGATGAAAGTTTTCGTCCTGCTCCCAGGGCAAATCAGGGAGCAAAGAACTTCCAGGGTCTAGGAGAGGATACAGGGTTCAAGAATGGAGCACATAATTCACAACAAAAGGCCAAATTCTCTTCAGGGAATTTTATTTCAAGATAAAGCATAACTTCTACCCAGGCCATGAATCCAAAGGTATGGCCGTGCAAACGTCTCTAAAATGCCTCTGCATGGTTCTCAGAAGCTATAGTCCAGTCATTGAAAAATGCTTCTCCATTTTCAGCTGAGGTGAGATTTGTTAGGAAACCTCTGTAACAACTTATTCAGTTTCTTGGGAGGTAAACTTCCAGACTCTCCCAGGGTCTCCTGGATTGATTTCATCCTTCGGGCTTCCTGAAAATACAGAACAAATACAAGAATGACAGTTCTAAAGTTTGTTCTGACCTAGGCGCATAGCTCTCACAAAGCCCTAAAGTGCACCAATATATTAACCAGCCCAGAGAGAGCTGTGTCAGTTACTTTCAACAAAAGAGACTTGGAACCTACAAATGACTGTATAATCAGATGCTACTATGCCAGCTAGCAATTAAATAGAGGCTGGAAACCAAACAACGCATCTTTAGACAGCATCACTATCTTTAGTTCTATTTCAGGCAATAATGTCTACTTGAGCAGTAATTCAAATTTTTCAAAATGGTTTTCCTATTCATTATTTCATTTGACACACAAAATTCTGTAAAGTGGCTATTAATATTAACCTCATTTTATATATGGTAAAGCTGAAGCTCAGAGTAGTAAATAAATCGGTAAACATAACACAGACTTCGTCCCGGTGCGGTGGCTCACACTTGTAATCCTAGCACTCTGGGAGGCAGAGGCTGGAGGATCGCTTAAGGCCACGAGTTCAAGACCAGCCTGAGCAAGAGCAAGACCCAGACCCTACTAAAAATAGAAAAATTAGCCAGGCGTTGTGGCGTGCGCCTGTAGTCCCAGCTACTCTGGAGGCCGAGGCAAGAGGATCCCTTGAGCCCAGAAGCTTGAGGTTGCAGCGAGCTACAAAGACGCCATTGCACTCTACCTAGGGCAGAGTGAGACTCTGTGTCAAAAAAAAAGCCTTCAAACTGTAACTTTTCCCACTTTTCTATGGGTGATGTAACCTCCAAATGAATGAGAGGGGCTTTTCTATCACTTAGCAAAACGCAAGGAGAACTATTACTTGTATCCCCCCCATTCTCTTCCCAAGAAGGCACCCAAGAGCCATCTGTCACCTGAGCCTTCGAAGCACAATCGAAGAAGCTCTCGATCTCTTTTCTGCACGCATCGTCACGGAATTCATTCTGCTTCCAGCAAGCCATCATCACCGACATCTCCGTTATGCAGGTCGCCTCTGGAGGGGCAGAACAGCGGGACCCTCAGTGACGAGAAGACGCCTACCTTTCCACCCTCATACCCAGGCGCCCCTTCCCCCCTCTGGCTTCCACTCCGGGGCTTCCTCGGCTCCAAATGCTCACCGCCCTTCTCCCGGCGCCGCTCCCCGACGCGGTTAGCTAGGATGAGGGGTTTGTTGGGCTTCAGTACGGGCCTCCGCGGGTTCCCAAGGCGCGCCAGGCGACCCCGCAGGCTGGGCGTCGCCATTGTGCGCCAAACTCCCGGCAGGCTCCGCGGCTTCGTGCGTGACCTTGCGTGACCCCTAAGAGCTGGACGAAGTTCGGCGCGGAGCCGGCGGAAAGGTGGGTAGACTGCTGGTGTGCACCTTTCTTTTCTTGGCCTGGTCAGCAGCGAGGCTGGTGTTCGTACCCAACAGCAGGTTAGGAGGAGACTCTCTGGGCTCTACTGAGGCTCCTCCTTTGTGGGCTCTGAGCCCTGAAGTCTCGGGAGAGTACTGGGCTGGGGACTTCCAGGAAAGGGCCCTGATAAATGGACACGTTTCTGGTGGATGACAGCTGGTCTACAGGGTGATTCACGTGGTCAAGGGCAGAAAGAATGGGAGCAAATCAAAACATGAAACTTTAAGATGTAAGATTAGGCAAGATTTTTGTCTTAATAGACCTACAAGAATTGTTTTTGATTACCTTCAGGACCATTCGGAAGCCGCAAAGTAAAATTAGGCTCATCTATTTTATAACAGCTACTGCTAATACAGATACCGTTTGCTCATTTGTAACGCTCTCATTGGGTACGGTGAGGCTTAAACGTTTTATTTTCTCATTCATCGTCTTTTTAAATCCTCTCGCCAGTCTTGTGAAGGTACTTGGTAGTATCATTCCTATTTATAGACTTGGACCTTCAGTAGTTCATAAGTGACTTTTGGCTGTTGACAAAACTCATTACAAAAATGTGCCATGTATTCTCTAGGCTTTTCCAGATGAGCTCCAAGAAATGTTTCTGGTAATGAAAGCAACTTGAACACGCCTGTAGTCCATGACTACTTCGGAGGAACAATATTTATCAAATTGTCTTTTGGGTTTTTTTGAGACAGGGTCTTGCTTTGTTGCCCAGGCTGGAGTGAAGTGGCGCGATTCACAGCTCACTGGAGCCTCAAACTCCTGGGCTCAAGGGTCCCTCCTGCCTCAGCCTTCTGAGCAGTGGGCATTACAAGCGTGCTGCCACCACACTGGGCTTTTTTTTTAATTTAATTTTTTTTTTAGTGACAGGATCGAACTCCTGGTCTCAAGGGATCCTCCCGTCTTCTCACCTGTCTCAACCTATTCGTTTTCTGCATAGCGCCTATCACAGTCTCAATTGTCTAGTTCATTTGTTTATGGCCTTACCCATCCCCAACACTCATTTTAAAATGTAAACATGAGAGAAGAGACCTTGTCTATATTGTTCATTGCTGAATCCCCAGTGCCTAGAATAGTGCAGATAAAGACTTGTTAAATGAAATGTTTGAAATATTGTTTTTATAAGTCTCCAACTTTATCATGTCCACCCCAAAAAATAACCAAGCAGACAACACTATGTAAAAAGCAATTTATTATACAAAATGAAGCCCAATAGAAATAGCAACACTTCCAGTAATAAAGGCATCAGCCTAGCACTCCACCTCCACATTCCAGAAGTGTAATTAAAACAGACTCCGATTACACACTTCTACCACCAATAACTCCAACATGTAGTAAGTCTGCTGCTATACACAGAGCAAGCTAGGCCCCAAATCAGAGAAAATTCACATTGCTTGCTTTCTCTGTAGGGAAAGTGAAGCTTTTAGTTGATAAGTATCACATGGCTATTCCTGGTTCTATAATACTTTCTCTTGTGGAAATGTAACAGGTTTACCCTGCTCTTTTGTGAATACTTACATGGTGTTAAGAATAAGGAAAAAGTCTGGGAAGTCCCCAAGCACAAAGAGGCCTGAGACTCTAGCATCAACGATTCATAAACAACTGGCCCATTTTGTACACAAAAGTGCTAAAAGAATGTCAATGTGAGCTGATGTAATTAGGAGAGGTAAGGATGATTCTACACCTTGTATAACCATCATTTACCATCCCCCCCTTTTTTTTTTTTGAGACAGAGTCTCACTCTGTTGCCTGGGCTAGAGTGCCGTGGCATCAGCTTAGCTCAC